GGAATGCACAGTGAGAGCTGTTTTAACATGCTATTTCGAAAAATGCTATTGCGTTACACAGCAGAATCATTACCAAAACACATCAGCGAATGGGTTAAAAACGTGAAGGAAATAATACTTCCACAGCATGGAGTGCATTTTTTATTATATTACTTATGCTGAAGCATTTTGTTATGTAGTCAGTGAGTAATTCAAAATGTAAGTCAAAATACAATACAGGTGTCAACCAGCAACCGACTTCCTGGAATGATGAAAGAAACTGTATCTCATGTATGTTTTTACCTTCAGGTTTAGTTCCCTGGAGCTGACCTTTGTATATTTTGTGACCAACGGGACTTTTCCCACAGCATTTGCACTTACTGCTGCACTTACACAAATCAGCTGAAGTGGATGCCTTCACACACCAAAATGAGTTATGGGTACCAGCGCCTTTTCTTTTCCAGGCTATCAAGCTGTGTGATTTGTTGCCGAAGTGAAATAAGCAGTAATATCATTGTTCTGTTGTTAGAGGAACACTCCTGGCCCCAGCCCTGGTGGACTGTTAATTCAGACTGGGAGAGACACCAGCATTCCTTGGTGAAAACAATTTCCAGCACAATCAATGGCACCTCGGCAGTCCTTTCATCTTCCGAACGAAAATTCTATCGTCTGAAGATGGATATCTTCAGAAGTCAAAGGTTCAGTTTCTATTCTGCTCTGCAAAGCTGAACACACCCTGCAGATCTAGCCTTGTTCACTTCTCAAACGTGAGGAGATTCCCATGTGAAGCTGGAGTTGTGCTGTCTCACCTCCTCTTGCCTGGGCAAACACACATGACCTGAGGAGAGAACAGAGGCACAGATCTCTAATTACTGGTCTAGTTCCTAGGGGCAGAGGCTGGGCAATGTGAACTCAGGAACCTGGGGGCTGTTGTAATTTACATCAGGTGCTGATCCACTGCTGGGCAGCTTGGTAACTGGAGCTTTTAGGAATGCCATGTAATTCCAGGTTTCTGGCCTCTCTTCCTTTTCTTGGATCCCTCTTCCTCTCGACAGATATAATAAGAACTTTTTGGCTACCTCTGCCTTGCGCGAGTCATCAGACCTTTATTTCAAGAGCATAAATGGTTTTAAAGAGATTAATCACTCTTTGCACAATCAGTGCAATCTCTGTCACTAAAAATTTGTGATTAAAGATTCAGAATCCATATGTCGTTCCACAATGGGATCCTGATGATTTTGATTCTGTAGGAAATTTTACCCAGAATGATTGTTCAGTTTCGTTTTAAGCTTTCCCCTTGTCTTCTGGTTCTGCATTATTACCCCCAAGAGCAATAAATATTCCTGAAGGGTTGTGCAGAGTTGTACATACAGTACAACAACACATCTAGTAATCATATTTTCAGCATGGTGGTGTGTCTTGCACAGAGTTATCCCTATGCTGGACTTTCTATCACAAGCTTAAAATATGGTTTCCATGTAATCCTTTGTGGGAGTCAAGTGAAGATTTGGCAAATTGATAGCGGCCTCTACTGGTGATTCCTTTGGGGATCTCTACTCAGTGTGGGTCTGTGAAACAAATCACAGAGGCAAAATACTAGGGGGCTGCAAGAGGTGGTGGTGAGACCAGTGCCTGCAGGAACTCAGAAGGAGGTAACAGATTCAGAGATATCTCAGAGGCATTAAAGATGTGACATCCCCTTCCCTCCTCAAAACTTTTGGTTCAACAACTTCCAAAATCACCTATTAAAGGCACTGACCTAACAGTGTGTATCATTGCACTTCAAACACTGACCTAGATAGGGCTATCATTCACATATCCAGTTATTCTGTCATGAGCTTGTTGGCTGAGCTTGCCAGCCGTGATGATAACCTGCACGAGCAGGAAAAGATAACCTGCACCAGCAGTGACGGTGAGCCCTGTGGCAAGATGTGTTCGCTGGGAAAAGCACTCATGGTGCGTTTGGGAGTTTGCTGTCTTGCAACAGGGTCATACTAAGATCTGGTAAGCATTTTTCTTTATTACTTGGCATTCATAATGCTGCATTTTTTTTTGTAGAAGAGGAAAAGGAAATGAGAAACTGAGCTAGTTGGCTTCTTTTGTTTCTGTACTTTGGCTATTTGTCACTAAACCTTACAACACACCTGACCTGAAAGAGATAGATAGAAAATGTTTTCCAGTATTTCAAAATTAGGACATTCCATTCATTTACATATCCAAATATGCTGCTTGTATCTAAATTATATCTGTAAAATGTACAAAAAGTCAGAACATGGCTGAAGTTCAAAGTTTAATCATATTATACAAATGAGCATGATTTTTTAAACTGTAAGCACAATGCTTTTCTAATATTTTAGTTAACCAGTTAAATCAACCAGCTCCAACTGAAGAAACAGACAGAAAGCAATCATGAAGATCTTAGGCTAAATGAGTTTTACTGAAGACTTCAAAAACTGGACATTAGTAAAAGAACTCTCAACTGCATAGCATGTACTATTGTATATTGCCGGGTAAATAGGGTGTGTGAAATGGTATAGTGTCTCAATTTGAGAATGTCACAGTTCTTCTTTCTTTACCTTATAAGTCTCAAAAGGCCTCACATCTCCAGGGGCCATAGTAAAAAATGTGCAGAGTAGTTCAGTGGACCCTTTTCCTTAAACACTACCAGCGCTTGCTAGCTTCAGGAACACAGATTTGTAAATACAGTTTCTCTATATAGAGCTAGTAAGAATCTATATTGATCTGTGAGTTTTATCTGCATGATATAGACCTGGAATAAATATCACACTGTACACAAGTTATGCTTCAAATACTGCTTCCTGAAGCTGTCACGGTGTATGCTTAAGCTTTGGTTGAGGTTTCGTAAACATAAAATATGATTCTACATCCACAGGAGCCAAATCCCACACTGGCATAAGGGTACAGAATGGGCCCAGGAAAACAAAAGGATCAATTAGTTAGACATTGCTGTGTATGTGCCTTAATCAAATTATTTCATAGGATTCGTTATGGTGATACACAAGGCTTCATGATGGAATTTTACCATTGAGGCCTAAGTTTATTATTACTACTGGGTTCAGAGAACTGATCTAAGCAGAAAGAATTCCAGAGAGGCTTTCATCTGAATCTGTTTTTTCTTCTGGTCTCCTATCTGCCCAGGTATCTAGTTTTGGTTCACTCTTAAGTGGGATAGATTGTATAGATTTTTTTGAAATCTATATTTCTGAATTATATCAACCAAAGTGGACTGAAGTCCTGGGACATGACCCAGCAAGATGATAGGATCATGCAAGAAAAATATTCATTTGGGACATGAGGTCCGCTAGGAGATAGAGCTTACAGATCTTGAAAGCTCTCAGAAATAGCCTGAGAAAGTTCTGCAGCTGGGACTGGCAAAGGTGTCAGCTTCCCTGTCAGCTTTTTTCATTCTGGTTATTTTCTTTTTTGTGCATATTTTGCCTCTGTTGCACTCCTATTCCAGCACCTCAGAGTCTCTTCATCTTGACCTTCATCCCTTCCTCCTTGATGACCTTCACACATTGGTTTCCTCTCCTGCTCCTGCTATTGTATCCATAGCGCTTTGTCTCTGCATTTTTCTTGCAGGACAAACTTGCTGTTTGTTTATTAGCTACTTATT